CTAGGATGTCAAGGGGATCCCTAATTCCTTTGGATTTTCTATTATACCCCCCTAATGACCTCAAAACCCCCCCTAATTCATTATGGTCCTGCTCCTTTTAAAATTAGTACAGCCCCTTTTAAAATGCTCATGAGGAATGTTTAGGATCCCGGATTTATTTTTTATTATTAGGGTGGGTTTTATTAATATGAGGAAGGGATTATATCGCTGGGCTTCCACGAGGCATCCGTGCATCTAAAGCAGCAAGAACCTTTTGGCTCATGTCTGCCTGCCCATATCTGTCCTCAGGCAGCAATATATATATATATGTATATATACACATATATATAGGGGTGATGGAAAATCAAATGGAAGCTACTGTTCAGGGTTTAGGGTTTAGTAAAGGTTCCATGCCCCTCCCCTTACTTTCTGATCGCGCCACGCTCCCCTGCTGCTACGAGTTGCAAAGGCCCAAGGAAATTACAGTATATTATACCATATAGTCCCTATATAATCCGTTACAGTAGTTTCCATTTTATTGTCTATATATCCCCAAATTTACGCAATAAAGCTCCATGCCCTCAAGCTGCCACCCTGTAGCCCCACACAAGTTTCAAGGAAACATTCCTCATAATTCTCAGCTGGCCGTGCTCTTCCCAGAAAATGAAGTATCAGCACAGATGACCTTAATCAGTAATTGCGAGTTTTATACAGATTTGAGCCCGAGGGTTTTCAGAACCCTTGCTGCTTTGGGGCAATTTTCATAGTCATCAGAAAGCGAAGCAAAGGACTTGGCCTGGGCGCAATCTTCATGCTGCACTTTGGGGAATCCGGATTTGGAACGGGGCCGCTCTGCTGTTTAGAAGGCATCGGGAGCTGCAGTTTGGAGTGTGCAAAGCTTGAGGTTCCTGTTCAGATTTTGATTGGTTTTTTACGATTAGATCTTGCCTGATCTTTGATAAAACCAAAACCAGAATCTCGTCAGATTCTTTTACCTGTGACCGCATCTCCAAGTGGGTTTGCAGGCATCCTACTTCTCGAGCAAATGTTGCGAACTTTATCCACACACTCCTTTTTGGAGCAACCCCTCCTCTGAACCCTTGCTTGGTAATTCAGGTAAATGAAGGTACAGTACATAAGTTGATGGCTTATGCTATAGTCAGATCAGGGGTGTCCCCCTAAATGAAGTCTGGCCTACTAGAAACCACGGGATTACAGCAGCCAGTCAAAGTGAGCACAGACACCGCAATTTTGAGCATGCTATCTTGATGCGGCAGGGGCTAGGCATTCCCAAGGATGTAGTCTGCAAGAACAGATGATCTCGCGAAGTCTAGCAAAGGCCCTAGAACAGCCGTGTGCGGGTGATGAGAGTGAGTAGCACTAAGAGCATCAAGAAGAAGCAGAAGCTTTTCTGCCCAGCAAACTGTCTTGATGTCGCGGCAGTTCAGGTGTTCTGCTATGTGTTCAATCATCACCGCATTTTTCTTACGATCATCACTTCATTTGATCGGGCAACTTGCCCTGCCCTAATGCCCCAAAGACGCAACAATCTCATGCTGGTGCCCAATATTCCAGCAGCCGTGAAGCACAAAGCAATTCCGAGCCCATGCGTTCGTTGACGCTTAAAAAGCGCTAATTCATTAGAGATTCTATTGAAGCCAAACCATTATATTTTGCTTTATTCTCCGACTCTTGTCCAAGGGCGGTGATCCCGAAAGTCGGGCCGCCAGCTGTGAAATTTGCCTTCCTGCCGAGCCTTGCCACATATGAGCTACTGTGAATATGAGCCCTGGTAAGGGACCCTTACTATTATAGTCCCTAATATAGTCCCGAATACTCAGTGACCCCTGTCCAGTAAGATGAATAGGAAATATTGACTGTGGCTCACATGGGAATTCTCCAAACATCTCTTTCACCGGGTGTCCTTCAGAGAAAAGATTATGCCAGTACGTTGAGTTAGGTGAGGGGAACCTCAGTTTGGAAATGAGTCAGATCGCCAGTGGCAACGCTTTCACGAATCCAGAATCTTTAGGCTTCTTAGCCTGGGAGTGTTTCATCGAGCCCTCCGAGTACTGCATTTTAGGGTGCATAGTGGCCTGGTAGGCCTCCAGGGGTTTGTATATTTCCTTTTCTGCCACAGGCTGCACATGGAAAAGCCTTAGATGGCTCCCTTCCCGAAGGAGCCATTTGAGTTGGATATTCGTCTGTCAGCTTAGTAGCATGACGTATGGGGGAGCGCCGTTGTAAAAAAACATCTGACGGAATAATGGTTTAATTATTAATGGTCTATTGCGTTAATGCGCTTCCGAGCGGGAAGGCGGGAGCATTTCGATTGGCACAGGACCAGGATCTTTGGATAGAATGCACAAGTAGCTTGATTGGAGCTAGTAGTATTGCACAGCACACAATGCACCACAATGATAGTGGGCCCATTGGTGTTTATTGGGATCTATAGGCACTGTAGGAGCCCCACGGATACATAGAGATTATAAGGAGATTAGAAACTCCTCTTTGACTGCTTGGCGGAGCGAGAAGAGGCTGGCTGCATGGTAGCCCAGTTTCGATTATGAATCGCCACCACCCTAGCATGAAACGCTCCCAGCATCATACCATCTTATAAGCTAGGAGAAATTGATTATACAAGGGTGGTGGGTTTATGATTCTAAGGAGGAGCCCCAGAGAGAGGCAACAGTAGAATCCACAACCCTGCGGGCCTAGCGTTACATTCCTATTTGAAGTTTGGGACCTTCCCACGGTAGGGACAGAACCCAGGAACCGAAAACCAGCTCAGATTTGGTTTCAAAACCGATCCGAAGGATTAGCATCCTTTTCTCAAGGGACTGTAGTGGGAACCCCAAACAGGGAACCTCAACAATATAATAGGAATATAATAGAACATAAGGAGCCTGGTAGGTATATTCCTGTTATATTCCTACAATATTCTTGGGGTGCCCTGTTTGGGCTTCCCAATAAAGTCCGTTTCCTTTTCTCAAGGGGAGGACTGGCACGCCGGATGGTTACTACGCGTACCTCTAGGCATGTGTGCCGGAATCCCCAACGCTGGAACCCTGCCCTACTCCCGAAACTACCCCTATGTTGGCAGTTCTTGCTTGGTAGGCCACAGCAGAGGTACAATAATTTTCTTGACTCCAGGGTGCCTCAAAGCAAAGACCATTTCGCCCAGGATCATTATTTTCGAGTCCGGTTGGACACTGCGATGGAAAGATTTCTTCTCGCAGTTGGGCTACATCCTTGTTTTCGCTATCTTAGGCCTGGAGCATCTTCCCGGATTTGCTGAGTGGGGTTACAGTAAGGGGCCACAGCCAGCAGTGGCAATACAATATATAGCCGATGTAGCCATCAATTTGTCGCACCACTAGTCGACTTCGGGTTGCCTTGTAGGAGGCGTGTGAGCAATGCGAAGTCAAAAAAAGATGGGCTTCGGGTTGGGGAGGCATCCCAAGGACACGAGTACGACAGGGTGTTCTGAGCTCTGGGTTCAAGGTTTTCTCAAAAATGAGCAACGCAAAAAACCAACGACCTTGTCACCCATAATTGGGGGAAGCCACCAGCGCATGCCATGTGCGGACGTTTATTGATGGATTAAGCATGCATGAGCTTTGTTGCACAGAAGGGCAAGATGCAGAGATGATCTACCAATCCGGATTATACTGTGAGACTAGATTCGGCTAGATGGGCCGCTTTCAGGATTGTCATAGACATGTGTTACCCGGGGCTGCAGTGGGGAAGCAACGCCGCCTGCATACATAAGAAGGGGAAAGTTAAAGATAGATCGCAGCCCGTGGGTCGTCCCTGAATGCCGAGAAAAAGGCTCAAGGCTCACATGTATTTGAGACTCATGGTTCCAACATGTTGGAGGAGGGCTGAACCTTTGATATCTCGTCAGCCCTTCCACCATCTTGAACTGCTTCAGTTTGGTTCATGCCATCATCCAAGCAATGGCAAACCCTGCAGCTTTGGCACATATCCATGTCCCCCATGTGCACCTTGACATCTAATTACAACGTTATCACCATTTATGCTTCAATCCTAGTCCTACATAGTCCTTAAGTTAGTTGTCGTGCCGAAGCTCACATTGCCTGTGCTTATACGCAGGCTCCATGATCTCCATGGTGGTTGTAGGTGAGCTGATCCTGGCCACCAGCCACTTGCCGGCGGGGTAGCTGCACTTCTTTATTTATGCTTCATAGTGACAACAGATAAGCGACCTGGTTTTCTAGTCGACAAAATCATATCGGGAAGATCTGTTGCAAAAGCTTGTCGGGTCTGGGTGAGAGGGTTCCCAAGGCCAGTATCACTCCATCAGCAACCGCCGGACAGCCTTTGCATACGGCTCGCTGCCCCTCGGACAAAGCCTCTTAGGTTCACTGCCACACCCTGGTAGCAAAGCAGCTGACGATGTTGGAGTTTGTAGGGCTCCAGTGTCTTTTCGCCGCTGAGTGTCATGTGCCATGTTGTCTCCCCAAGCCCAGAGTATCCCAGAGACTCAAATATCAGAGCCCCACAAGCGGGATTGCAAATTTGACCCGTACCAAGAGCATTACAGGATCGCCGCAACAGATCCGGTGGCGACGCTGGCCACATACGCCAGCCTCAAAGTGGAGCCGGTGCTTGCGGCTGTGAGTTCATGTATACTTGCGGGGCTTGCTATTTCGAAGCTGTATTGCAGAGAAGGCCAGCGAAGTGATGTCACGCAGGGCCAAGTGCACTCGCAGTGCTGAGGGGCCAGTCTGCAGAGTCTCAAGCATTTCCTCCCATCCCTGTCTTGATTCCATGCTTGGTCTGTATGAGCATGCAATGTTGAAGAGGGTCCTTTGAGTGAATTGTCATGGTGGCAAAACTGATGGTGGAGCACCACGGCACAGGTCCACCAGATTCCTTCTGACTGAAAGCCGCAATCTTCCCAATGCTACAAGCCAAGCATGACTAGACCTTGAATCTCAACTCGAGAGTTCCTGAGCCCCAGTAGGACTTGATAACCTCATTATAGTCATTCACCATCAGTTTGAACATGGCCGTTAAGGGAGACCGAAACATGTCCTGAAGAAGGATCTTCAGAGCTGGTCAAGGGCATGTCAGCGTGGAAGCCCTTGATCTGAGCATCTGCAAGCCCAAGCCATGGCGAGGTGCTGAACATCATGGTCTTCGGGGAGCCACTTGGATGGATTGTCCTGAGGTTTTGGGGGCACAGAGGGCTTTGGCTGAAAAATGCTTCTGAATCAGAATCTGACTCTTTTTTTTTGGTCCCTTGAGGCATTTGAGTTGAACACGGCACTGCCTGTAGGATGCAGCGATGAACTCAGTTCCGAATGCAGTTCGTGCACTCCTGCCTCAGCCGTCCATCTTCTTCCAAGTGTCAAGTGGATTTCGTTTGTATTCAGGGTGCTGTTAGGTGTGAGATTGGCTGGGAAAGCACACCAAGCAAAAACCGGCCTGTCCGTAGAAGCAAAAAAATAGGGCGGCAAGATGGCGCAGGCAGAATTGCCACTGTCCCCGCAGAACTTTTGGCATTTGTTCCAAGCAGAGAGTGTGAAGACTCCTAGCCATGTTCGGTGCACTTTCCAAGCAGAAGTTTTGAATGGGCTGATTTGCAGCATCTTCGTGAAAGCTCCCTTGGGCCGGTGAAAGCTGCTCTCAGTATAGAGTATGGCTCAGGTCCATGATAAATGATGCCGTTGCCATTGTCATCTTCGAGATTCTGAATAGCGATGCTATCTTCGGTGACCCCTGCCATCCCGTGACGCAGAACGACATCTCGCTAGCCGCCTGACGCTGAAACCATGAGGAACATGGAGTGCAAGTGTTGGGTGAAAGGACTTGAAGCTGTGAATGTTGCATTTTTCACACAGCATGTGGCTCATGCTCTGATGATGCGTTTGTTTCTCCATCCATGTCCCATGTCAGTGCAGCACTTTTTGTCCGTATCATCTTCACCCAGTTGAGCTGCACTACCTGACGCATTCATAGCACCAGAGGCAGTTTAGGTGCCGGATTCATGACAGCTACACTGCTACACGACCAGGTCTTGGATCCCGGCAAATATAAGAAATAGAAGATACCTCCCAATTTCCTTCCTGAAAGCACCAGTGTACCAAGGCAGTGACGGCAGGCATCTTCCAGAAGCTCAGTAGCCCTGGTTTGCAGGTGTTGGGGGATAGCCTGGGGCTTAGGTGTGGGGCCTGCGGTCTAGGGGTTGTGCCAGTTTGCCTTCCTTGCCTGGTGCTGTGGCAAGTCTGGATTCGTGAGTTGTTGCAGAATTCTTGCAAGAAGAATACTCAGAGAAGCTACAGTATAGGGTTCTAAGCATGGATCTTTAGCATTTGGTATCTAAGCACAGTTAACCGTACAAGACATGGATCTAGGGCCCGAAAGCAAGGCACTCCCAGGCATCTTGTTGTGCTTGACTAATCTTTCTATTTCGGCTTATGCAGGGACCGAAGTTAACAACGGATGCGGGCGGGTGACCTCAAGTAATAAACCTACACAAAGAGCTAGCCCTACACTGGACTTTTAGCACCAAAGCTGACAAGTAAAACCTGAGCCCAAGACGAAGGAAGCTGGCCTACTCCATCGGAATTGGCCTTGGCGTAAGCATGGTTCTCATTCTAGGTCTCCGTTTCGTGCTCTGGCAGATGTTATTTATCTAGTTTGAGCCCGGGATCCAGGTTTCCAAGAGGCTGCGTTGAAAGGTACTTACAACTTGTGCGTTGTACAGGTTGTGTAGAAACGGTTATGACGCATTTCACCCAACTCTTCCTGACAGTTGAAGCATATCCACATGCAGGCCTCGTACTAGGCAGACCATATTCTGCATGCAGCTGCATTTGTTACACGGGGTGATTTCGTGGATTGAGCGCCTGGGGCTGCAGCGTGCGATTTTTGCGGTGCAAGACAGCGTGTCAAACTCGTCGGAGTTTACAGCGACTTGTAGTATAGACTCTGCACACAGAGGTTTGTGAAATTATGTGGTGAAGAACAAATGCCGGGCGAAGAGAAGCGTAAGTGAACTTGCCAAGACCTTCCCAGCTGATGCTCATGATGCTGGCTTGCCTCCCCAAATGGCGCCAAAAACCTTTGCAGCTGATGCTCATGATGCTGGCTTGCCTTCCCTAACAGCACCAAAACCTTCCCAGCTGATGCTCATGATGTTGGCTTCCCTCCTTGATTGGCGGCGAAACTTTTCCAGCTGATGCTGATGATGCTGGCTTGCCTCCACAGCCCCAAAACCTTTTCCAGCCGATGCTCATGATGCTGGCTGGCCTTCCCAAACAGCAACACAACCGTCCCAGCTGATGCTCATGATGCTGCCTTGCCTCCCGAAATAGCGCCAAAACTTTCCCAGCTGATGCTCATGATGCTGGCTGCCTTCCAGAACAGCGCCAAAACCTTTCCAGCTGATGCTCATGATGCTGGCTTGCCTGCCCAGATAGCGCCGAAACCTTCCAAGCTGATGCTCATGATGCTGGCTTGCCTCCCCAAATAGCGCCGAAACCTTCCCAGCTGATGCTCATGATGCTGGCTTGCCTCCCCAAACAGCGCCAAAACCTTCCCAGCTGATGCTCATGATGCTGGCTTCCCT